CATGCACAAGCTCCCCCTCTATCAACATCCTCGACAGAATGGTACCGTTGTTAACAGTCAGTGAACCCACACTGACACATCATTATCACCCAAAGTCCGTAGTTACACAGTATACTCTTGGACTGCTCTTGTGTGTAGGGTTCACTCTTGGTGTTAGACATTCTGTGGGTTTAGACAAATGTATGATGACATACATCTACCATTACAGCATCATACAGAGCAGTGCCACTGCCCTAAAAATCCGGTGCTCTGCCTATTCCTCCTTTCCTCCCGCCAGCCCCTGACAGCCACTATGCTTTTTACTGTTTCCACAGTTTTGCCTTTCCCAGAATGTTACAAAATTGGAATCACAGTGTGTAGCCTTTTTGAATTGACTTATTTCACTTAGTGGTAGGTACTTAAGTTTCTTCCATGTCTTTTCATAGCCTGATAGTTCATTTCTTTCTAGCAGTGAATAATATTCCATTGCATGGATGTATCACAGTTTATTTTCCATTTACCTACGAAGAATATTTTGGTTGTTTCCAAGTTTTGTTAATTATGAATAAAGCAGAGATAATTATCTGCGTGTAGGTTTTTATGTGAACATAAATTTTCAGCTTATCTGGGCAAACACCAAAGAGTACGATTGCTGGATGAAATGATAAGAGTACGTTTAGTTGTGTAAGAAACCGCCAAACTGTCTTCCAGGGTAGCTGCACCATTTTGCATTCCCACCAACAATGAATGAGAGTTCCTGTTGCTCCAAATCCTTGCCAGCACTTGGTGGTGTTGGTGTTCTGGATTTTCACCATTTTAATAGGTGTTGGATATGTTTTTATAAGATCACTTTTTTTTTTGAGACAGAATCTTGCTCTGTCAGCCAGGCTGGAGTGCAATGGCACAATCTCAGCTCACTACAATCTCCGCCTCCTGGGCTCAAGCAATTCTCCTGCCTCAGCCTCCCGAGTAGCTGGGATTGCAGGCGTGTGCCACCATTCCTGGCTAATTTTTGTATTTTTAATAGAGATGGGATTTCACCATGTTGGCCAGGGTGGTCTCGAACTCCTGACCTCAGGTAATCCGCCCACCTCGGCCTCCCAAAGTGCTGGGATTACAGGTGTGAGCCACCACGCCCAGCCTTTTTTTTTTTTTTTTTTTTTTGAGACAGAGTTTTGCTCTTGTTGCCCAGGCTGGAGGGCAATGGCGTGATGAATTGACTCATGGTAAACTCTGCCTCCTGGGTTCAAGTGATTCTCATGCCTCAGCCTCCTGAGTAGCTGGGACTACAGGTGCGTGCCACCATGCCCGGCTAATTTTGTATTTTTAGTAGAGACAGAGTTTCTCCATGTTGCTCAATGTCGGTCAGGCTGGTCTCCAACTCCTGACCTCAGGTGATCCGCCTGCCTCTGCCTCCCAAAGTGCTGGGATTACATGCGTGAGCCACTATGCCCAGCCAAGATTACTCTTTTAGCTGGTTGGAGAATGGGGGATACTCATTAGTAGGCTGTCACTGCAGTCTAGGTCATGGCAATGAAAATGGAGCAAAACAGATGGATTTTTAGAGGATATTTAGAACAGAAAGGACCTTCTGATAAATTCATGTGAGTGTGAACAGAAGTCAGCATGTGGAGTAGTTCTGAGTTTTCTAAGTTGTGCACTTGGGCAAATGGATACAGCCACTACTCAGGGAAAACTGGAACAGGAACTGTTTATGGAGGGCAAGGTCAAGTGTTCAGCCTTGGATATGTTAGGACAGAAGTGTATGTGAGACAGTGATGTGCCATGTCACAAAACAGCAGTGGGCCTGTGGGACGGGGCTCATGCTGGGAATCCACACCTGGAAGCTGCCAGCTGATTTTTACTAAAGTCGCCCTGGGACAATGTTCCTCTGCCCTGCCTGGAGATTTGGAAAACACGGATGCCCAGGCCCACAGCTGATCCCCTGAGTCAGAATTGGGTGGCGGAGCCTAGTCATGGGCCTGCTTTTGAAGCTCCCTGTTGATTGCGGTACATAGCCGGTATAGATGACCACAGAGTTAAACTCCGAGAAACTGGTATTTTAAAGGTCAGAGAGAGAAGAGGCACCAGCGGGAAACGAGTGAGAAGGGAGGTCAGGAGAATGTGGTGTCTGCAGCCAGCGCAGAGTGCGCGGGTGAGCCCACAGAGCCATGGCGGCGGATGGCGCTCTGCCTCTGGCCCTCAGCCAACACTCAGTGCTTTATACACGGTTTGTGCAATCAAACACTACTTCTTTTTGGTGTTCTCAGGCTGCTCAAGTCAAAATATACTGGGAGACTATTGGTTAGAAAGTTAGTTTGTGAGTAAGGTATCAAGATAAGGAGAGTTAGATGATCTTAAGCTGTTTTCTTGGCTAAGTATTTTCATGCACTTTCACCCCCCTGGGGATAGCTTTTCTACAAAAACTGCAATTCTGGATTATACTGAGGCAAGATACCTCCCACTGTTAATGTTTTATGGTCACAGCTCTTGTGTTCTCAGTCTTTATTCAGAGAGCACTATGATTTAGTGGTTTACACTATTACATCAAAATCATATAATCAGTTCTCCCGCAAGTTGATTTATAGATTCTAAACAATTTTAATTAAAATCCTGGCAGGAGTTTTTTTGGTAGGAATTGAAAAGTTGATTCTCAGATTTATATGGAAATGCTAAAAACTAAAAAGAGCCAAAATAATCTGGAGGGAGGAGGGGAAGCACTATTTAAGGACATAGTCTATTGAATATCAAGACTAATTATAAAGCAATAGGAATTACTAGGAATTAATTAGGCAATACCATTTGGTGTTGACTCGAGGGTCAGTAACTAGGCCAATGGACCAAGATAGAAAATCCACAAACATCAAGTCCAACAGAACTTAAAGGTAAAAAAAATAAAGAAAATCGGGCCAGGCATGGTGGTTCATGCCTGTAATTCCAGCACTTTGGGAGGCCAAGGCAGGAGGATTGCTTGAGTCCAGGAGTTCAAGACCAGCCTGGGCAACATGGCAAAACCTCATCCCTACAAAAAACACAAAAATTAGCTGGGCATGGTGGCATGCACCTGTAGTCCCAGTTACTCTGGAGGCTGAGGCAGGAGGATACCTTGAGCCCCGGAGGTAGAGGTTGCAGTGAGCCAAGATGGTACCGCTGCACTCCAGCCTGGGTGACAGAGCAAGACCCTGTCTCAAGAAGAAAGAGAGGGAGAGAGAATGTGTCTCATAGGGCATCACTGCAAAGCATTAAGTAAGGAGGGCTTGTTACATAAAGGGCCAGTGCTTCTTGGCCCCCATTTCATTCAGCACATAAACATAAATTCCAAGTAAATTGTGTATCTAAGTATCAAAAGCAAAATAGTAAAGATTGGAGAAGATATAACAAGAGGATATCTTTAAGACCTAGAGGTAGGTAAACATTCATAAGTAGGACAGCAAATGCATCAACCATAAAGGGAAAGCTTGATAAACAGGACAACAATCAAATTAAAAATCTCTAATTACGAAAAGACACCATTAAACAGTGAAAAAGCCAGGTACTGTGGCTCATGCTTGTAATACCAACACCTTGGGAGGCTGAGTCAGGAGGACCACTTGAAGCCAGGAGTTTAAGACCAGCCTGGGCAACATGGCGAGACCTCATCTCTGCCAAAAATTTAGAAAATTAGCCAGGCATGGTCGTGTGCACCTGTAGTCCAGCTACTCGGGAGGCTGAGGTAGAGGAGGATCACTTGAACCCAGGAGTTTAAGGTTGTAGTGAGTTATGATTGCACCACTGCACTCCAGCCTGGGCAACAGAGTGAGACCTTATGTAAAAAAAATTAAAAGTTAAAAAAAAATGAATAAAAAAGCTAGCCACAGAAGGAGAAAAGATATTTCCCATAAATATATAACTGACCAAAAAACTGTCCAGAATAACAAATTTCTACAACTCAAGGAGGAAAAGACACACCAATTTTTTAAGTGAGCAAAAGACACGAACAGTGAAAGAAGATATACAATTAGTCAAATATATGAATAGTGTCCAACAACATTAGTCACGGGAAATACAGACTAAAACTATAGTGAGAGATCACTTCTCATTTACTAGAACAGCTAAAATTAACACCAGTGATGACATGCATTGGCAAAAATGTGGATCAGCTTGAACTTTTATGTTTTGCTGAAAGGGGTATAAGCAGGTACGTTTACTTTGGAGAACTGGCAGTATCTCTGCTAAAGTTGACGCAGCAGTTTCACACTTCTTAATGTATGTATTCCACAGAACTGTGGACATACATTAACTAAAATCTCTGTACCAGCATTATTCATAATAGCCCTAAGGTAGAAAAAAAACACATATCCATCAAAGGTGGAATGGATCATATTCTACATTCATGCACTTGAATACTACACAGCAGTGCAAATAAATGAAATACTGCTTCATATATTGATGAACCCTAAAAAAAATAACATTGGACCAAGGACAGGAAACAGGTAGCCTGTGGTAGAAGTCCAGGTGGTGGTCAGCCCTGGGGAAGCAGCCAGTACCTACTGGGGAAATTGGAATGTGTCGTTGCTTGTTGTGGGTGGTGGTTAACAACTGTGCTCACTTTGTGATAATTAACAAACTTTTCTTACTCTCTTGCACTTTCCTATAGGTATGTTATATTTTGATTTTTAAAGCTAATCTTTAAACTCATAATCCATTACTCCCTCCCTGAAATTATGCAGTTAGCGAGTTGTACGTTTGTAGACACTGACACGGTATTTTACCTATCCTAGATTTAGATTTTGCTAATTTAAATCTCAAGAGGAATCTTATTTCCAAGCTTATCTGAGATGTTTTTAGTGCCCATGTAGACATCAGAATAGTTTTGTAAGGGGTTAGGATTAAGACACCTGATAAACTTGAGTTTATTATGCATCTTTATTTTGGAAAATATGCTCAATTAGACCATTTATTACAAAGACTTTCTCCAGATGAAAATAAGTGTTTAAAATGTTAACATGAATTACATTGGTAATATTTATTTTCATGTTTAGTTAAATGCTCTGCGAGACCTTCATCCATTACCCAAGATAATTTTGGAATACAGGCAGGTAAGTTAATTTTTTTGTACGTAAAAGGTGATGAAGGGGAACCATACAGCCCTGTGTCATCAACAGAAATCCATAATGGCTGAAGTAGCCCTCCCAGTGTTCTCGGGGGAATAGAGTTTTGTCAGGTTAACCTTGTACTGGCACTGCTTACTTGCACCCTAATGTGATTTTACCCAAGTCTGCAATCAGCCCCACTCGCGAACCCCAGGAGTCAAAATGGAAGAAGACAATGAGGAATCAGAAGGAAGTAGGTGGCATGCCACGGCTGTGTGTCGTCGGTGTGCAGGAGACGCCCAGCAGTACCTAGTCTCGAAGCCTCCCATAACCCCTCCCTGGCTTCTAGGTCTGCCAAGACCATACCATAGCAGTGTTGTGTCGTCCTGCATTTACATTTGCCAGAGATTTCATGAGTGGCCCCCTTCCCTCCCCTGGTGATTCCCTTTCTCTGTTCACACACCTGCCATTTCCTTCCAAAGTTCTCTTTTGGTTGTGAACCACGTTTATAGCTTTTGCCACTGCCCACAGCATAGGTCCTAGTATTCACTGAGCCTGTGGCCTGCTGTATCCTGAGGGCCTGGCAGCTGTGAGGGAGCACATTGGCTCCAGCCTGGCCCTTTCTCCCTGCAGCAATGTAAAGGGGCAGCCACAGGAGACACTGTGTCAGAGTATTTGTTTATCTGTTTATCTTTGCAAATGTCCTGTAAATCTAGAAAGATTCTAGAATTAATAGATCTATTTTTAAAGAGTGGAATGACATCTTTCTGTGTGGATCAGTGTTATTTAATCCTGGTGCCACCTAAGGTCATTCCAGGGCCTCCCGGAGTCATCTGAGGTGATAGTAGCAGCATGTACCCAGCACTCTGTGAAACACCATTCACACCATTCCTGATTAAAGACTTAAACCGGCCGGGTGTGGTGGCTCACGCCTGTAATCCCAACACTTTGGGAGACTGAGGTAGGTGGATCACCTGAGGTCAGGGGTTCAAGACCAGCCTGGCCAACATGGTGAAACCCCATCTCTACTAAAAATGTAAAACTTAGCTGAGCATGGTGGCACATGCCTGTAATCCCAGCTACTCAGACTGAGGCAAGAGAATTGCTTGAACCCAGGAGGCGGAGGTTTCAGTGAGCTGAGATCATGCCATTGCACTCCAGCCTGGGCAATGGAACGAGACTCCTTCCCCTGCCCAAAAAAGACTTACGACTTAAAGAAAATGATTATTTTTGTCTTTCTACCTTAGGTTCACAAGATCAAGTCAACCTTTGTAGATGGATTATTAGCTTGTATGAAAAAGGTAACAAGCTTTACAAAAAGATACTGTGATTAGGATTGTGGTTTTTGTGTGAGTTCAGATACATATAGAACCTTTGTAATTTTAGTAAATGATGAAATAATCTAATATTCTCTTTTTTTTTTTTTTTTTTTTTTTTTTTTTGAGACAGAGTTTCGCACTGTCACTGGGCTGGAGTGCAGTGGCACAATCTCAGTTTACTGCAACCTCCGCCTCCCGGCTCCAAGCGATTCTTCTGCCTCAGCCTCCCAAGTAGCTGGGATTACAGGTGCCCGCCACCACGCCCAGCTAATTTTTGGTATTTTTAGTAGAGACGGGGTTTCACTATGATGGCCAGGCTGGTCTCAGACTCTGACCTCGTGATCCACCTGCCTCGGCCTCCCAAAGTGCTGGGATTACAGGCGTGAGCCACTGCGCCCAGCCAAAATAATCTAATATCCTTGAAACTATGAACCATAATATTGGTATCATTTAGGTCCCCTTGCAGCATAGGTTGACGTTATGCCTTGAAACCCTCCGTTTATGAGGAAGCTCTAGCTGACCACCTTTCACATCCACGATTGTGTCTCTGTTCTGGATTCATTTGAGGAAGATGTTACTGTTTTAGTTCAGACCTGAGGAGACTGCAGTCAAGAGATGTTCTGTGACTCGGTCAAGTTCACTCAGCAAGTGACAGAACCTGTCTGTGACTCACAGTCCTATCTTGAGCCCATGCCAAGTTCCCCACAGCCCAACAGCTCTTACTCTCCCCATGCACAGGATTTGTGAGTGACATAAAGTCTTGTTGCAGTTCCTACATGGGTTAGGGGGAGCCTCCTTCCTCACCCTTCCCTAATCACACGTCAGGAATTTTGTAACCCCAAGGACATTTCAGGGTTAGAAGTTTAGGGCCAGCAGCTTGTTGGCTTCTGGAGGACCAGTGAGTGTTGTGTGTTGTGGGTGGAGGCTCCGCCACATCCTCGACTTCACATAGCATTGCCAGAGTTTACACTGATTCTTTTTAACTAATACAGGGCTCCATTTCCTCTACATGGAATCAGACTGGAACTGTGACTGGAAGACTTTCAGCCAAGCATCCTGTAAGTTATGTAAACAGCTGTCTTTGTTAAACGCCGTTTTCCTGCCTTGCTATTGAAGTTTTGTCTCCACATGCGTTTGCCTGTGTACTTTCTGTTTCCAAGAGGGGGCTTCATACTGATATGCTGTGTTTTATTCTGTTTATTCTGAGAACATAGCAGTAGAACAAGGCAGGTGGGTTCTCTTCTTGTGAAGTGCTGAGTTAGCAGGGCGGGGGCTTCACACACAGAAACCATGCACTCCAGTGTGAGGGCAAAAAGGGCACCCCTACCCCATCTTCCTTTTCAGATTTGTGCCAGACAGGTGGCTTCTGATTTCCAGAAATGTGTTGAAATAGCTGATGCTATGATGAACAGCTTAATTTTTTGGTGGTTGTTGAAACTGTGTCTCTGATTAAAAAAAAAAAAAAAAAAAGCCGTAAATTCCCTTGAACCTATGATGTAGCTTCCATCACACTTAAAGCAATTAACTTTCTAAATGGCTCTGTATTTTGAACTAAAAAAGACTCATGATTAATTTCTCATTACAGAAAATTCCTTAGATACAGAAAAGAAATAAAAATAATAAAAAGTCACTTGTTATGCACCATGCAGAACTGTGGTGTCTATCTTTCCACACTTCTTGCTAAGCACATATATTTATAAAATACAATTTTTTAGGTCGGGTGTGGTGGCTCATGCCTGTAATCCCAGCACTTTGGGAGGCCAAAGCAGTAGATCATGAGGTCAGGAGTTGGAGACCAGCCTGGCCAATATGGTGAAACCCTGTCTTTACTAAAAATACAAAAATTAGCCAGGCGTGGTGGCGTGTGCCTGTAGTCCCAGCTACTCAGGAGGCTGAGGCAGGAGAATGGCATGAACCCAGGAAGCGGAGCTTGCAGTGAGCCGAGATCGTGCCACTGCTCTCCAGCCTGGGTGACAGAGCAAGACTCTGTCTCAAAAAAAAAAATTTTTTTTTCTACAAAGATAAAGCCATTCTATTTTATATTATGCTTTTCTATTTTAACATCTCTTGATATCATTCTATATTAATAAATATTGATTTGAATCTATATTTAAATTTAAATATATGAATTAAATATGTGAATTATTTAAGTATACACTAATATATATAAATATGAATATATATTAATGGTAAAGAAATACAAGTATGTGGAGATTTACAGAATGAGCAAATGTTAGTCATCTTTCCCTTCCCTCCATAACATGTGTCTGTCCCATGGGTTCCCTCCATTAATGGTCAGGACTTCATCCAGGCATTTGCATAGATGGTGTACCAAGTGCGTGCAGGCAGAGGGACACACTCGGGTGACTGTGTGAGGAAGAGGAAGAGAGGCTGGGATGGGGGGAGTTTGCACTGATTGTATGGTCTCTTGGGTGCATGGACACCCACTCTTGGTCAGTCATCTCTCGGGCTGCCAGCTGTCTCTGGCCTTGCACTTTAGGGGGCTCTTCTGGGGTCTTTATCTAGGGAAGAGTAGTAGTAATAGCAATACTAATGTGAATACCAATACCAGCACCAATATCCATGTGAATACCAGTGCCATCTCCTCTGAATGCAGGCACTGCTGCCACATTACCCTTGGGCTAATTTCTCAACCAACCACAACTGCTGCAGTTTTCTCTTAGTTGATACTTCTTATCTAGGAGTTATTTAGGAATTCTGCTGAGAAACTTTTCGTGGAGGTCCTTGCTTTTGCTTTTATGGAGTTATAAGTTTCTTTTTCCATTACATTTTCAGTAAATTTCTTGCTGTGTTTTATTCTCTTCCAGAAGTTTCTGAAGGGTCTGGTTTGTGAGTAGCACTCCTCCCAGGTTCTCTGTGAAGTTCTAATTTTACCTACTCATTTTTCCGTTATTTCAGTTGAACTTTTGGAAAGATGAGATGTAAACATAACATGTGCATTCAGCCGTGACCTTTAACTGGAAGCTTGTGTCATCATTTTAACAGCTGCATTGTATTCCATTTAATGGCTACCCCTAATGATGGCCATTTAGATTGTTTGCAGTTTTAATTATTTTATAGAGATACCATAAACATACTTGTACTTTATCATAGCAATACCATACCAATTTCAATAGCAATACCAGAACCAATACCATAAGCATTTTTGGTACTTTTTTTATGTTGATTTCTATAGCATAAATTCCTAGAGACAGAGTTTCTGAGTTACAGTATATATGTATTTTTAAGGCTTTATATTGCCAAATTAGCCTCTCCACCAAAAATAACATTCCCACCACATAGTGTGTGAAATGTTTGGTCCCCTAATCCTTGCCAACACAAGGAGTTTTCATTTTGATTACTTTCCTGACTCATTTTTTCAATTTCCATTTCTTTAAATATGTGTTGAGGTTGACTACATGAAACAATTATTCTTCTTTGAATTGCCTGTTCATGTCATTTGCCCATTTCTCTGGAGGGTGTTTATTTTTTCCTATTGGTATGGAAAAGCTCTTTATATAATAAAGATTAACCCTTTATAAAATGTTGAATTATTTTCCTCCAATTTTCTTTTGCCTTTTAACTTTTAAGATACATATTCTGGTTTACTGTACTTAAAATGGCTTTTTAAAATTATACAAATAACATGATATTTCTAAAGAATTCAAACAATAGATAAAAATGTAAATAACAAAGTAAAAAGTCACTCAAAACTCCATATCCCCGCTATGGCCATCTTTAACATTTTGGTAACCATCCTCTAATTTATCTCTTTATGCACACACACATTTACATAAATGGGATCACATTTTATATGTTGTTTTTATTGTAGACACTTCTCTCACACCCACATACCTCAGCCCTCCACCCTCAATCCCAGTGCTCTTGGTAGCCCATGATAGCAGCCTAGAGCTTGCATATCCATATTTTCCTTGTGACTTATTATACAATCTCATATAGGCCCATATGTGTCTGCACATATACACATAGAAACATGCACTTTGTCATTATTTATTTTACAGATTCAGAATTTTCCTTTCCTGCCTCTTGCTTTTTGCTGTCAGCAACAGCTTATGGGGATCCCTGCAGCTTACCTGACAGAGCCTTGTCCCACTCTTAGCTATGTGTGTTCCACACGTGGGTGTGTTGTGCACTTGCCCTCTAAAAGTAGAGCTGCAATGAACACCATGCATGTATGTCCTGTTGTATTGGTACATGTATTTTTATGGGATGGATTTTCAGATATGGAATTGCTGAGTAATTACTATACTGGGTACAGAAGATATTACATTTTTACTTTTAATAGCTTTTATTAGATTGTCTTCCAAAATGCTTTCAGCCTGTCTCTGCCCTGAGCAATGTGCAGCAGAGCCTTTCCCACTCTCTATGGTGACTTTCCCCTGTACTGACGTCCCTTATTGTTTCTGTCTTAGTGTCATCTTAGACAGATTATTTAAATACTCACCTCTATTTTCTGATAGAACATTTGTGCTTCTGTTTTTGTACACATAAAACTTGAATCCAGCTGCACATTATTTAAGAAAATACTATGTAGGTTACATGATAATGTCATAAAATGGCTAGAATTTCAATTGCTTTTTTTTTTTTTTTTTTTGCTTGAAGTGCACAAAATACAGTTGACTAATATTTTAAAAAATCAGATTATTAGCCTGGGCAGCATAGGAAGACCGCATTTCTACATAAATTTTAAGATGCTTTAAATTAGCTGAGCATGGTAGCTACTTGGGAGGCTGAGGCAAGGAGGATCACTTGAGCCCAGGAGTTTGAAGCTGCAGGGGGTTGTGATCACATCACAGCACTTCACCCTAGGTGACAGAGCAAGACCTTGTCTCTTAAAAAAAAACAAAAAAAAAGTCAGGCCAGGTGCAGTGGCTCATGTCTGTAATCCCAGCATTTTGGGAGGCTGAGATAGGCAGATCTCTTGAGCTCAGGAGTTTGAGACGAGGCTGGGCAACATGATGAAACCTCATCTCTACCAAAATACAGAAAATTAGCTGGGCATGGTGGTGCATGCCTATGGTCCCAGCTACTCAAGAGGCTGAAGTGGGAGGATTGCTTGAGCCCGAGAGGAGGTGGTTACAGTGAGCCGAGATCATACCACTGCACTCCAGCCTGGTGACAGAGTGAGATCCCACCTCAAAAAAAAAAAAAAAAAAAAGAAAGAAAGAAAAAAAAAGAAAAAAGAAAGAAAAAGAAAAGAAAATTAGGTTATAGCTGGTTCTCAGTATTTTCAGAAAGCTAAATTTCCCCCACACCCCCTCTTAAGAGAAAGTTATTGCTTCTGGTCCTTTATATGGAAATAAAAAAAGAAGAAAAAAAGAGTCATTGCTACCAGTTGTGCAAAAGTATCCTTGTGTCTCTTTGTAATATCTCCCTTCCCTCCCCACCCCTCAACCTTTACCCATGTCCTTGGCAACCACTGACTTGCTCTTTGCCACTATCTATTCGTTTGCAGTTTCTGGAAACCTCTGTGAATGGAGCCACACAGCATGGACTCCTATTGGGCTCCTTTCACAGCATTGTGACTATGAGCTTCAGCTATGTTGCTCTGTGTTTCAGTAGCTCATTTCTTTTTATTGCTCAGTAGTGTTCCATGGACTCTGTGTACCCCACTTTGTTTATCAGTTTACCTGTTGATCAATATTTGGGTTGTTTCCAGTTTGGGGATATTATTCAGTTTAGGATATTACTACACACATTCACTGCACGTCCTTACGTGGATAGATACTTTTTTTCCTCTTGGGTAAACACCAAGGAGTCATACAGTAGGTGTAGGTTTCACTTTTTAAGCAACTGCCAAACTCTCTTTCCAGAGTGGTTCTACCATTTGACGTTCCTACCAGCAGTGTATAAATTCTACTTCTTTTACACTCCCAGCAGCATTTGGTCTGGCTGGTCTTTCTAATTTGAGCCATTCTGCTAGATGCATTGTTGTGTCTCATTGCAGTTTTCATTGCATTACCCTAATCACTACTGCTGAGAGTCTTTCCATGTGCTAATTTGCCATTCATTTCTCTTTTTCAGTGAAGCATCTAGT